GTTAAACGAGTGAAAAGAGTGGTAACACTAGTCATCGACTGCAGAGGTATCCGATGATCACCGCCACCACAATCACCACCACAGCGAACACACCGATCATTATCCACGGGATGTGACACTTCCACGACCTCCAGTCGTACCACTCGTACCCATAGCTGAAGCACCGGCCGTTATGTAGCCCAACCGCCCGTCCACTTAGCATTTCACGCAAACTGTTAGTACCGTTTGAATGGCACTCTTCAGCCACTAATTCCTGAAGACATTCAATCATATCGTATAAGAAACAACAGTACGCCCTCTCCTTAACACCGGACGTCCACACCCCATACCATTCCCGGTGAATAGGATCAATACATGACTCGTTAGCTACCGGTGCGATGTTTGGCCCGCAGTCTGTTTTATTTATGTCACTCATGATGTCCACCATTGGATCCAATAGTGAGATCTGTTTACGTGATTTAGCGATCGATGTGCGCTCTTTGACACATAAAATCATTGGTAAGTTAGCACTCAATACAATGGCTAACAATATGTGATAATATCTGGACATTAGGTTATAGTTGTGAAACTGTCGTAAAGTTAAGGTTTTATGAAAATAACAAATGTCTTAAAAACTGTTATATAATTCAGTAATTAAATTGAAATTAAATTCACTTTTAAGTTATTTGAAATGTAAAATTGTGTCTATAATTGGTTTATTATATTCATAGCAATAATAATAATAAATATGGTGTTTTGCGCGCATTTAGACCTTTAAGAGGATTTTAACTTAAATTAAAATTTTTAAGTGCAATTATTTTATGGTAATGGTTGGCTTTTATAAGAAGATTTAATTGACTTAAAAGCTAAGTTTAGGTAAAATCTATTTATTTATTTTTCCCAATTGTATAGTATGTCATTAAATTATTGAATTTAATATACTCAAGCTAAGAGCTTCGGGATTATACTGTATCAATTAATTACTTGCGAAATACTTTAAGATAAAGTTTTAATGTTTATTTATTTTAAAGCTTATTGAAAATAAATTGAATAGAGAGAGAGAGAGAGAGAGTGAGTGAGTGAGAGAGAGAGAGAGAGAGAGAGAGATTAAGGAATGTTTTAATTTCATTATATGTAATAATAACATTACTTACTTAGATTCATGTAACTAAAACACAGGTGATATTGACGTAAAGTAAAAATATAATGTACAGAATCGTATAAATATAATAATATACTACAAGATATGTTGAAATCTAATTTATTCATTTATAATATAACGTATATTCTGTTGATTATAATTTTCAATACACATATTTTGCAGTACATAAGTAGTATGTTAAGATAATTTGCATAAATGAAAATACTTTGGAAACTAATTAAAGCTTTTGTGTTATATAAATGCTAATTTGCAACACATTGTTTGCGAGTTTATTTGAACCGCTTTAACCAAATGTATACTATTCACGAAAATTTGATGTAATTTAGTGTAACTAAATCCCACACATATGACAGTTTGATTATATTTACAGACACAATATTGTGTATAAAATAATTAAATTTTTAATAATAATTTTATTGACATTGCAGGCATATTAAACTGTATATTATGTAGCGTTTTACAATGTAAATACAATTAATGTTAAAAATTAAACAGATTTGATGGGAAAACTAATAAATCATGAATATTATAAGGGTTTATTTTATCAAGAAAAAGTTATATATTATTACATAACCCAACACTTGAGATGTAAATATAAATTTAAAGTTTAAAAAATAAATGCTTTTGTTTTTTACTTTAGGATATTTTGTCACATAATCTCTGTTTTAAAATAAAACAAATATTGATTTTATATCACTAAACACATTAAATATATTGAAAATATCAAACATCTCTCTCTCTCTCTCTCTCTCTCTCTCACTCACTCACTCACTCACTCTCATTCACTCTGCAAATGATTTTATTTAATAAAAATTATTTGATTACTACTATAAAGCAATTTGAAATTCCAGTTAAAATAACATTTTATTAAATTCCAGTATTTCAATCAAAAATAAATTAAATTCTCGTATGGCTTCACTGAATCATGTAATAAAACTTGCATTAGAAATCAATTAAAATGCAAATATGATTTATTTGTTGCACATAATTTAACAATAAATTTACATAATTTTTAAAGTTATTTTTACTTCTATTTATTACAGTAAATTAATTCTGTTACAAATAATAATAAAATATAAAACATACTACATTATAAATAGAACTGATAAAAATATTAAAAATATATTACATTCTAGTATCACATTATAAAACATACCGGGACATTTTAATCACTAATAACATTGATAGACGTATACATAGCATGAGTTACCATTGATTTCCAATCCATTAAACATTTAATAACATCACAAATAACCACATTTTTGGTAAATAACTTATATTGTATCACAAGAAAATACAAATTAAATACAACCAGATTCATTATATTGACATAAACCATAAAACTATTGCCTAAACCATAGGCTATATAGGCATAACACACGACACATACATCACGAGAAATAATTAACACGACTATTGAATAGGTATTAATATTAACGACATTTAAATTACACTATTGCATTAGAAATCAATTAAAATGCAAATATGATTTATTTGTTGCACATAATTTAACAATAAATTTACATAATTTTTAAAGTTATTTTTACTTCTATTTATTACAGTAAATTAATTCTGTTACAAATGATAATAAAATATAAAACATACTACATTATAAATAGAACTGATAAAAATATTAAAAATATATTACATTCTAGTATCACATTATAAAACATACCGGGACATTTTAATCATTAATAACGTTGATAGACGTATACATAGCATGAGTTACCATTGATTTCCAATCCATTAAACATTTAATAACATCATAATTAACCACATTTTTGGTAAATAACTTATATTGTATCACAAGAAAATACAAATTAAATACAACCAGATTCATTATATTCTGTATTTGGTATTTTGATAACGGATTTGGTATCCGATATATCCGTATTGTGTGCTGTGTATGTAGTGCTCTTTATTAATTGTGCTGATAACTTATCCATAATTATAATTGCTGTAAATTTAATGTGACATTTGTCTGAAAATCATTAATTGTATGAACAATCTTATAATAAAACTCAGGTTTTGGCTTTAGTTGCCTCATCCGGGTATTCATATAGTCCAGTACCTCCCGGTACCTCATTGTGATCTCGTAGTGGATCAGTTGCAGTGACACTATCCAGCCGTTGATGTATGCTATGGATAGGGCCGAGTGGTGATAGATCCGGATATTATAGGACGTGATGATTACGCTGCCCATGATTTGAGGCGAAAATATGTTACACAAACACAGCGACAATAATACGATCTGGGTGAATATACACCATATTATGGCCGTATTGTCCCGTTTTTTGCCCACGTATTTGCGGTAAAACACATGTATTTCATCGTGTATTTCAATCATACGTTGAAACGTGAATTTCACGTAAAAATAGGACACCAAACAAATTAAATGTACTAGCTCACTAAATAGTTTAATACACTTAATACTATTAGAGTAGGTTACGTGTAAAGTCATTGGTGTTATCACTAGTAATATACAGAATACGCTGAGCGTAATACCAGTGAAAAAATATTTCATTACTTTATTCTTGCAGTTTATTCCGTACGGTATTAGTATGTATTCAAACATAACTGTTATTATTATATTGTTTTTTGGTTGTATAGTAAGTGTTATGTTTGAATTGTTAGCGCAAGTAATACATTATCGCAAATAACCCGTAGATTTGTTGAGACGGTATAAAGCAAACAGAATATTCTGTTACAGAATATATATGTGATTACGTGTGTCGAGGCATACAGTGTAGCCTTTTAGCGCAACTCCACAAACACCGTTTGGTTTGAGGGCTAACAGTGTGTATGGCATACATTGTATGTATTGCACGGAATATTCTGTGAATTCTGTATATGAAGCCAATCTTAGCTTTTACTTAACAAACTATAAGACATACGATATATTTATAATGAACTCGTATTGTAACATGAAAATCTAATAATATAAGAATAAACTTCATTAATAATTTTATGGACAGTATTTGAAAATTTTCGTTAAATTTATCAATGGTATTGATAAATGTAATATAAATAATATAAGGGACGAAAAGATTTATTTGATAAATGAGATTAAGTGCTAATGCATTAAATACAAAGGTATTATTATTATTGACACTAAAAGCAATTTATAAATAAATAATAATTATCACCGTGCGTAGGTTTATCATTAGTAGCCTATTATGTTACAAATAATCACTTTACTTAAGAAACTTAGATTTATTAAACGATAAAAATATTCAAATGTAAGAATTTAGTAAATAAAAAAATGCTAGCACACGTATGCTATTTGGCTCATTATGCCCAAAATTCACTTTTATTTAAAAAATAGTATCAAGTAACATACTGTAGTATGAATGTGTTTATAAATAATTCTTTGTAAAACTAAATATTATTAATACTATAAATTGAATTAAACATTATTTTTAATGCAAAATTATAATCAAGATTAATTAAATAATTTTAGTTTCAGAAAAATACCCTTAAAAATAATTAATCAAAAAACAAACACCAAAATGCCTTAACCGGTAGTTTATCCCCAGAAGTCAATGAGCGTAATCTGTGGCATATCGTGGATAGCCTTCATATCCTCCTCCCGGAGCTCGAAGTCAAACACATTGAAGTTCTCGACAATCCTCTGAAGTTTAGTACTCTTAGGTATGACTATCAGTCCCCTCTGGATCTGCCACCGGATCATCACCTGAGCCGCACTCTTATTATACCTCTCGCCTATACCCACAAGTGTCGGGTCCTTCACCAGCGACCCGGTGCCCAGTGGAGACCAACCGCCCACAGCTATCCCATTGCCCAGACACCAGTCCACTGTCTCGTCCTGATTAAGGCCCGGATGTATACGTATGTGATTTATTGACGGCTTAATCCTCGTCGTAGTCATGAGCTCCTGAATCTCACTCGGCTTGAAGTTGGACACACCTATCGCACGGGCCATACCCTCATCGTAGGCCCACTCCAGGGCTCGATAGATATCCGTATTATTCTTGAGCGGCCAATGAATGGACACGAAATCCAAATAAGTTGTGTTCAACTCTTTTAAGGCGTTTTTGATGACATTCTGAGTCCTCTTAAAGTTGGAGTTCTTGGGCCACACCTTATACACCAGGAATATGTCCTCCCGAGTGACCAGCCCTTCCGCGTAGGCCTCCCCTAATGCCTGAGCGATCTCACGCTCGTTGTGGAAGAACCAGGAGGTGTCGATGTGTCGGAAACCCTGGCGTAGGCCGTCCTTAATGGCGTCGATGAGCTTTTTGGCCCTC